ATTGGGAAGCACAAAATTGGATGGATAAGTCTGATTATTCAAACAAAGTAGGTTCACACCTAAATTGTCTGGATAATTGCCACCTTGTGGTTTAGTGCAGCGATTTTCAGCCGATGTGCCGCAAAAATTTTGAAACATGCAATACCTGAGTATTTATTTAGTTAGGTCCACTGACCTCTTTTCCCTTAGATTGTCAAATAAAAATATGATAACAACCAATACAACAATAGCTGTCCGGTATAAATTAATAAAAATTAAACCTATTTTTTTGGTCAGGTCTGCAAAAAATATAACAATGTTTTGGTGTGCTGCAGAATTTTAGTAATTAGTTTAAGTGTGCCATGACATGCCAAAGGTTGAAAATTGATGGTCTAGGGCAACCTGACCCCCTTACTGCTGGAACTACAGGAAATATGAGAGTCATAATTGTCTATGAGCAACTGAAAGGGGCGTCTGAGGTGGTGTCTGCTGCATAGGAAATGAACAGACTGTTCAAAGTGGTAAATGAGTAATGTGTTCATTGTGGTAGGCAAAATATCACCCAGGCTGGGAATGAGTCGGGGGGGGCAAATTTGGCTGGTCTTTGACAATTTTCTTATTCTATTTTTTTTTTTTAACTTGGGTTTGATTCATTCCCAAAAGACTCCATTTAACATACACTTACCTCAGCATTTCCAATAATTACATTTTTATCCTTCAGGAAGCAATTCCTGGTTCTCCTCACCCAATATTGGCTTCTTATTTATTCTGTGTTCACACAGCACCAGGGGACTCTGTCTATACTGCATTTATTTGCATTTATTTATATGTTGGTTTGTGAATGTTTTTAAGCTACTTTTCTGTATGTGTGCTGTGTTCCCTTAAGTGGATTTATGTTCTTTCAAGAAAGTCTTTCAGTAGCCATTTTTTTTCTTTTCCTTTCACTTGCATTTTATAACTCTGTTCATTTGGTACATCTCATAAAAATTTCCATGTAATGTCTTAGTAACTTTATCCACACATTGCTATTTCTGCTATTGACTAGAAGTTGAGAGCAATGCTACGTTTGCAGTCAGGATATAGCACATGTGCTAGTAGGTTTTTGCTTTACAGATGATCTGCTTTAACACAACATCTCTAGAAAAGCTTTGCATCTAAAAACTGGGTTCCTTGTGCATCCTATGAGTGATTGCCAACATGCATAATAAGCTGAGCCCTTTCCCGTTCCCACAAAGCTTCATGGACTTTGCCCTACTCTGCTAGAAAAATTCTTTCCCCTTCTGTGCTTGTTAAATGAGGAAGAGCTCATGCTTCAAAACCTAGCTCAAATAGTTAAAAGCCTACTTCCTCTCCATCCCATCTGCTCCCACAACACTTTATACTGATCGTCTGTTTTCACCAAAATGCATACTTCAAGATCACAGCTTGTTCGTGTTTATAACCACATCACCAAATACTGAATCATTCACACAGTGGACACTCATAAAATGTTAGAGAATAAAAAATACTCAATGGATAAGTTCTTGCATAGAATGTTGACAGTTCTCTATTCTCCATTATCATCCCTCCAAGGAGCCTGCCTGCATTACTTCTTCCAGATTATTTCTTCATATGCCTCCTCTTCCTCAAGTATCAGTGTCCGTCTGGTTCTAGTTTATCCTTGGCATCATCCCAACTTCCCTATTAATTGGCAGGGCCAGAATGAGCCCAAGGGTAGTTTGAATAAATCATTTTTCACTTATAATATATTTATTTTAATCTTTATTTCAAATTTATCTCACATCTACTGTGTGCTAGATACTCTTTGTTCTAGGTACTGAGGATACATCAGTTGACAAGATAGTAAAAATCCTTGCCCTCATAATTCTTGTATTTTAGTGGTTTACTCTGAAGTTTAGACTGAGAAACAGACTGAGAATGAAAAAGTGAGCTTTTTGCCCAAGTTGTATAATAAATTCAATTCAAAGTCACACACACACGCGCGCGCGCGCGCACGTACATACCACATACGGCTTTGTAATTGAGTTCTAACTGCATATGGCTTTTTGTCATCCTATTTCCCGGCAACAAATACCAACATATAATAGACACCTGTCCCTAGCACTCATGCTAGATAGACACTGGCACCTATATACATACACTACACTTCAAAAGTTATCCAATGTATAAACTCATTCATCGTACACTCTCCCAAATATCAAACCTCCCAAGATGTATATTATACCACCTTCCCCTCTACAAATAACATATATCCATTCAGATGCATTTTCTAATGTGTGAGCTTATGGATGTGCATAGAACACACCTGCAGACCTTGGCTCTCCATCTACTCTCCTTTATTTTTTCTCTAGCAAGGAATGGGATGTAGAAACATGTTCCATTTTGTCAGGAGCAGAATCTCTTTGAAAACTATCATGTACTTATATTGGACCAATTTTCAAAATGAACTGGGCAAGCCCTTGGTGAAAGCCCTGTTGTTGTTTTTTAAATCCTCACCTGAAGATATGCTTATTGATTTTTGAGACGGGAAGGGTGTGTGTGTGTGTGTGTGTGTGTGTGTGTGTGTGAGAGAGAGAGAGAGAGAGAAACATCAATTCCAGAGAGAATATCAACTGGTTGCTCTCTGAAAGTGCCCCAACCAGGATTGAACCCTCAACCTTTCAGTATACAGGACAACACTCCAACCACCTGAGCCACATAGGCCAGGGCGAAAGTACCTTTCTTTTAAGTGTCAGTACTTGGTCTCCACTCTCCTGGGCAAAGGAGCCCTCCAAAACTAATTTGAGGCTGGAAACCATTTATTTATTTATTTTTTATTAATTAATTTCTGTTTTGTTACAGAGAAACCATTTAAAGTGGCACAGCATTCCTGGGGGAAAAGTGAGGGATCTCCGTTGGGGAAGGACACGGAAAGAGGACAGATTAGGGAAAAGACGGCCATTCTGTGCAAGATGCAGCAGTCGTCTTTTAGGTGTTCTCTGCCATTCTGCCTGTCCTTTAGACATTGCTCCAAGTCCTAAAGTTTTAGTGATCAATGTATTCACTCTTCTGTCTCCCAGAAGAACCCTGAGCTATAATGGGATGCAATGTATGTCATGTGAAGACGAGGAGAAAGAGAACTATACTCAAAAGACCATCTTAGTAGGTCAGGCTTTTTATGTGTTTTATTTTATTAAAACTTTGAAATAATCCAAATGGTAGATAGTACTTACTTTTATTTTGAAAATATGGAAATCAAGGTTCAAAGATATTAACAGTGGTGTTGGGATTTAAACTCAGGTCTGACTGACTCTTGGTGTATGATCTTTCTTCTCACGTGCTGAGACTGGACCTTGTGTTTTCGGGTGGGGGGTTGTTTTTCAGCAGTGCAGTGGTATTTTTCTGCACCAGTGGCAAGGGTTATGGATATAGCCTGTGTTCATGAAACACAGGCACTAACCTGGAATAAAAGAGGTCTGCATATGTTGGCAGCTGGTAAACACTTTCACAGAGATTCTAATGATAACATATAACTCTGTGTGTGATGGTTTATAGTTTCTAAATATTTTCCATTCATTGAGCCCCTTTGATCTTCATACCAAGCTCTCTGAGGGATGTCGTCAATACCCATTTTACATTTAAGAAAACTGAGGGGGAGCCAAAAAGGATAAATATTTACTAAAGAAATTATTTCTCTCTCTCTTTCTTACCTGCTGGCGGCCTCTGATGGGGCTATGCATCCTTTCACATATCATCTTTGTGAAACATTATAATTTTACCCATTTTATAGTTGAGAAAATATTTGAACCATATGATAAAACATTTAAAACATTGCATTTAGCACTATTTTCTAACAAGCTCAATTAATTCGCATCTCAGTCATCTTGATGGGTACCCATAGTAAAGAGTGCACTAAAGGCTATCAGAGTAGGGGGTTATTTCACTTAGGAATGTCTCCTCTGTCTGACTCAATCCCTGCTTCTATAGCTTCATTCTATGTCCTTGTGTTTTTTTATTTCCTCGGAAAGAGTGGAGAATAGCTGCTGGTGATCCTGTGAATAATAAATCTTCAGAGATTTGAAGCCCGTCATGTGTAGAAGACAGTTATCTCCCAGTCCTCTCATTTCATATTAGAGTGGACATCACCGAGTGTCCTCAGCAGAGGCTCAGAACCATATGTGAGTCCACTCATTTTCATTCTCTGGACCCTGAAAACATATTTCAAATGGGTCAAATGGCCTTACAAAAAGCTACTGGCCTGCCCATCTGTGGTGAGTGTGGATTTGAATAGAGTCAGGAAAGATAGAAAGTTGTGACCTAGTCTTCACCATCTTTTACATCACTCCTTCCTGCCTTTCATCTCCTAGGCTTTTCCCCCAGACTTAGGGCCCTTTCCTTGCTTCGCTCCACAGATCGAAAGTCACTCCTATTTCACCACCTCTCCTGCTGCTCCTTGCAAAACACACACAGAGACACACACAGGAATCTTGTACATATCCCTTCATTTTAATCCTGTACTCCCTGACTTAGTTTCTCTCTATAAAGTTTCTTCACATCTTTTTAGCTTTTCCCTCTGGAGTTCAGTAAAGTGCCTCCTGTTTTGTCCTTGTACCTCTGTCCCTTGGTCCCTGTGTCATGAGTGCCATCCCATCTTCCTCATAGGACTGGGCTCTCCCAGTGGGAAGGGACTTTATCTTCGCCTGCCTCTGAAGTTCCCTTCTATTCTCTGAACAGAAGGTAATCATCTCAGAAGCAATTGACCTACACATCATCTGATGATTCTCCAAGTCAGTGAATTATTTCTTTTTTTAAAAGATTTAAATACACTTTATTGCTACAAGGTGGGTCCTATTGAGTAGGGTCTTATAAACCAAAATATGTGGTCCCAGGTTATCACAATGAAGAAATCAAGGTCATGATTATAGAAGAGGTCACTATAACTGAAGGACATAATTCATGGGAGGCCAGCCAGGAACGCAGCAGACATGATCAGGACAGGTGGGGGATGGTCCGGTCATGGGTGAGGGAGAGGTCAGCCCCCTTTACTCCTGCTTTTTGTAGCTCTCCAGGTGAGACAAGACCCAGCCTGCTGGCAGGAGGCTACACAGGAAGCAAGAGGTGAGCCCAGTGGTGATGTCCATGGTGCCAAGCTGCTCCCTTGGAGGCCTGGAATGGACCTGGGCACGAGGCAGCAGCAGCCACCAGGCTAGACCAGCTAGGCCCCTCAGCAGATGCAGCGTCAGCGCAGACATGATCACACAGAATGGATTGCAGACAGCTCAGTGAATTATTTCTTAAATTCCTATCTAAGGTCTTGCTCTAATTTTGGATATGAATCCAGCATTTGTGAAGAACAGATTTTTCTTGCTTATGACATTAGCTCAGGGTGACAGGGGAAGTGCCAGAGAGAGAGAAAAAATGATTAAGGGGATGAACACAATTTCTGAAGCCAATTAACTGAGACAGTTCACATGCTTATTATGTTTAAACTATTGGGTGATTAATTTAGGGAGTTTTATAGACAGTTTAATACTCTACCAGATTAAGGAATAAGCCAGTTTATATAAAAGAAGAAAGAATCCTGATATATATCTATATCTGATATTGACTATGACAAATGAAAGATGAGACATTAGAAACATTTCCATAAATTATATCGTTCAGGAGGTAGATACAAATAGTCAGCTTTAAGTATTGGCATGTAAATTATCTTTAGAAAATTTAAAACTCTAACTTGACTGTTCCTTGCCCATCAGCATGCATCTTGGCTGCCCTACCTCAGTCATCCCCAGATTGGCATTACACACCCTTTCCAATGAATGCTTATGTAAATCATAATTGCAAAGATATAGCTCCTTGGGCAAAACCAAATTTAAAAATTAGTCTGAGTCCTGGCCGGATGGCTCAGTTGGTTGGAGTGTTGTCCTGTACACCAAAAGGCTGTGGGTTTGATTCCCATTCAGGACACATACCTAGGTTTCGAGTTCGATACCTGGTCAGGGCACATATGGGAGGCAATCCATCAATTGGGTTTTTCTCTCACATCGATGATCTCTCTCTCTCCCTCAAATCAATAAACATATCCTCGAGTGAGGATAAAAAAATTAGTCTGATAATCTCTAATATTTCATGGTCCACTTCATTTTATTAGCATAGTTAATTAAGAGTTGCCTGAGATAAAACCAAGACTATTTATTGAGTGTCTAGAATACATATGGCAGGGGTGGCAAGGTAAGGTCAGTTCAAAGCCACAAAAGAACTAAATCATGCTACTTGAAGTGGATGTGGCTCTATGGACCAGCCCCAAATCTCAGTCTACTACCTGGAATTCCCATTCTGTCCCATACTTTTTTCTCTGACATGTAGCTGGTTTAATTTTTTATTTATTTATTTTACCTTGCCTATTTTCTGCTCTCCTGACCTGGCCTTTTCAGGATGGCTGTATATCCATACTCATATAGAAAAAAATCCCCCCCTCCTTCTTTTGGTCACTAAATGTCTATGTATAATGCTAAAAGTGCCTTCTGGTGTTGTCAACTCTGTCATGCAATTGGTGATTTTAGTGGGAAAAAGTGCTATTCTGAAAGGCCCACTTGATTCAAGTAGCCCAACATAGATAGACCATCAGCTTGCTCTCTCTGTCTTTGCCACTATTATTTTGTCTCTTTGTAATATTTTATGCTATATTTGTAGGTCAATAGTGACACAGTATTGCTGTTTCTCTCTAATTCTCAGATATTTAAAAAGCCTAATGAAGAAAGTAATATTAGGAAAACAACTGTAAGAGGAAGTTGATTCCACACACACACACACACGCCGCCTTATCCTTGGAGGTTTTATAATTTGGGATGAAGGCGGTGGTGAGAGGGCTAATATTGCTAATCAGAGATTTCTTCCTCACCTTAGCTCCAGAATAGTGGGGGCTGGTTCCCCCATACCTTCTCACCCTTATTTTCTTGCCCCAGCCCCCATCCCTCCAGCCAAGAGGGAGTCTGTCACTGTAATTAAGCAGTCTGTAATCAACAAAGTTCCATTAAGAAATAATGAGGCCAGTAATGCAGTGGGTGCTATTGATGGGGGATTAGTGAAACTCATGTGGTTTCCTACAACTCCCCCACTTTCTGAGGAAGTGGGGGTGGAGAAACTGTTGACTCTGCATCTTAGTATTAATCCCTGTGCTCTCCCCACACTCCAGAATTAAAGTCCTTATTGCAATTGAATGTGTTGGATGGGACAGGGCTCCCTACCGGGTATGTGAGCACCTTGCTGGCAGAGACCTATCACAATCATTTCTGCATTCCCAGTCTTGCACCTTATAAGTGCCCAGTAAATGTTCCATGAATTCTGAGAGAGGATGGGCTGGAAGCTCAAACTGAGTATAGGACCCAAGTGCCCTGCCTTCTTGCTTAAGACTTTCTCAAACAGATTGTGGTTCCATTAGCACCTGGGTAAATATCACTGACTGAAGAGGCTCTTGGTACTAAGGAACGTAAGTTCTTTTTATATTTCTCTTATGTTGAATCCTGCCTTTTATTATAATTACCTATATATAAAGGCATACGTTCTTGGAGGACAATGACCACTTTACATAGTTTTAATGTTCCACAGAGGTATGTAAAGCACGCGTGCTCATCTTGCAGTGGCCTACGGAAAAACTGGCATCGCAGGAAGTCAGTGAAGATTCCAAGAATATCCCTTTCTGTTCATTTTACTGAGTCGGTGAAACGAAACAGTTGAAGACTAATAATCTAGGGGCTCATGAAATACTTTATGTGATCTTCTAAGGGAGCTTGCTCTATATTAAGGTGTAGTTCACTCACTTGCCTAAAGTGAATCCCATGGAATCTAAAGAGGCTTCTATATGGAATCAAGAGAATGACTTCTCATAGTGCCTTTCAGCCCAAAGCTCCTAGAACCTTGTGCAAGCTTAGTTTCACTTGCACTTGTAGTTTTTTGTTTTTGTTTTTAAGAACTGAGTGGACTAATCAGGCAACTGGAAGAAGTTCATATAATTCACTCCTCTACTTTCACAACACTGCCTCTAAGCTGTGCATCTTCTTCTTAAACAAAGAAAAAGTTTATAACTTCTTTCAAGGTAGAAAGCTCTTCTAAAGAAGGAGTCCATATGGGGTGGTGGTTAAAGGTAAAGTTTTGAGTCACAGAGGTCTGGGTTTCAGTCCAGAGGAGTTCCAGTTCACTCTCCTGCTTATTAGGGCAAGTTACTTAATATTATCTCTGAACCTGCGGTAAGAATACCTACCACAAAGGTTTGCGAGGGTTAAAAGAAAAGAAGAATGTAAAGTATCTCTGAGCACTGAGTCTGGGTGATGGGGAATGCTAAAAAATGGTAGTTAAGAAGAATAAAGCTAAATCCAGCTTCAGTCCCTCCTCTTCTAGCATGTGCTATGTAATTTTGTCTGGATGTATGTGAGCTTTGTGGTTGTTCTCATGTGTTTTTGTGTTTTGTTTCCCCACTTAGACTGTAAGCGCCTCTAGGAGCTGGTATTCTTTGATATTAGATTATTGAATTCCATAGAAGGTTTTAGAACAAGCTCCCTGCCTGTGTATCAAATAATTATTATTGGCTCATTTGCCATTTCAAGTTTGTGAAATGTATTATTTGATCTTCTCTATCATAGGAGCTTGTTGTATATTAAGACATAGCTCATCTACTTCCCTTAAGTGCATTTAGTAGAGTCCAGAACACCTTAAATGTGTTTTTAACAAAAAAGGTCTGAAACATAGGTGCACACTGTAGATGGTAGTGAAGAACAGAAAACCTGCAGAGTAGAATAGGGCAGGATGAGAAAATTGGGCCTGTTAGAGTTGGCTGGGCCACACATTAAATAGAATCTTCTCTTCCAGGGCTGTAGGCATGAGCTTTGCAAGTTTGAAAACACAACCACTGGCCTGAAACCACAGCAGTAGAGTGATTCTGGTGCTGGAGGTCATTTCCATAATAATCACCTTCCCTTCCCCAAACTAGAGAGTTCCCTTTTCCCTTCCTTTTTCTTCTGATGAGGATGTAATCCTCTCAAGAGTTGATTATCTCCCACTTGTTGTCTTTTTTGCCATTATCTGGGTGTGTTATCCATTTTTGTAATTATTTGCAGCAGATGTTTTGTCTTGGTCCAGCTTGTTCCTGTTACCCTGCATCCTTGGGCTTTGGCCATCTCCTTACTCTATCATTTGGTGAGGGCTAGAATGAAACAAACCCCTCATGATATCAATTCCTCCTAGAGAAACCCTTCATGCTAGATCAGACCCCTCAGAAAACGCCTTTCCACACTGCATCAGAAATCTCCTATTTTGGCTATCAGTGTCATAGTTTGCTACCAGAGTGTGGGCAATTGAGACAACAGCGAACCATTCCTAAAATGGTAAAAGGCCTTAGAAGCCTTTGTTTTAAAGGATGTAGAACTTAATCTCAGAGAATTTATGAAGTATAAATGCCTCTCTCAACCCTCATTCTCCTTGCCCTACGCTGTCAGCATTTTACACATTAAAGAATGTTTAACAGCCCTGGCCGGTTTGGCTCAGCGGTTAGAGCATCGGCCTGCGGTCCAGAGAGACTCGGATTCGGTTCCCACTAAGGGCACTTAACATCGGTTGCAGTTTGTCCCCAGCCATGGTTGGTCGTGCGGGTGGCAGCCACTCCATGTGTCCCTTTCACGTCAATGTTTCTCTCTCTCTTCCTCTCTCTCCCTCCCACTCTGTCTGAACAAAAAATGGAAAAATGTCCTTGGGTGAGGATAAAAAAATAAATTTAAATAAAAAAGAATGTTTAACAATACTGTTCACTTTCAACTAGCAGCATATTGACTGGTTCTATAACATGTTTCCCAAGGAAAGAGGTTGATTTGAACTGTAGAAAGCCTTTACTATTCAGGATATGGGAATGGGGAAAATGGAGCCAGAAAATGTTATATAGGACAATGAGAGAAGGAAGGGAGAAACACCCAAAGTACAACTGACCTGCTATAAGCAGGATATAAGACACCCAAAACTGAGGCTTTTGTAACATGAGTGATGAGTATTAAAGCCAAAAGGCCTTTGATTTCAAATAGGGATATTCCTAAACCTACCAAGCAAAGGAGAATTCATAATATCTGTTATAGTAGAAAGTTCCTCCGAAATTTAACCTTAATGTCTCCAGTGCTATTTTATTTGTCTGTATCAATGTGTTGTTTTGTAATTGTTCTTAGGTTGCTTTTATTGTGTATTTTTGCCTTCACAGGTTAATTCCTCCTGG